CTGTTTCTTCATGACCATCGTGCTCCCACAGAAAGAAAAGGATGCCCTGGCGGAGTCCGTGGACACAGCCTTCACCGCCACAATCGGGGACGAGTCGAAGCCATCCCCCCCCCACGTAAGCCGTTCACCGATGCCCATGTCATCCATCTCGGACGAACCTTGGGCCCGTGGTGCCTTGCACAACAAGCAGCAGCGGGGTATATCCACTTCCCCTGCTGCGGAACCCCCTGTTGAAGAGCCCAGGGTGGCGGCGGCGGCGGCCGCGACGGGGTTCGTGGGAGCGTTTGGTGGTGATGTTGAGACACCACGACAACAAGCCGGCGGGAAGCCCGGGGCTAGGTCTTGCGCGCCCTGCTGTGGGCCGGGAGCGACATCATCTGCGGTGTCGATTGATGTCAGCTACAGCAGCAGCAGCAGCAGCAGCAGCAGCAGCGGCATCACCGGACCCGTCGAAGCCGGTACTGGCGGCGTAGCCGCAGCAGCAGCAGCAGCGGATCAACCACCAATGGTGGCGGCTGCGGTGTTAGGGGAAGGGGTGACGTCACCGGGGGCGCCGGCGAATCGTGTGAAAGAGGAGCATGTACAGAGGGAGGGGTCTGTCCCATTGCAACCGGCCCAAGGCAACGTTGCTGCACCTGCCGGTGGTGCTGGTGCCGGTGCTGCCAGTCGAGGAGAAGAAGTGATCGGTGGGCTCGAGCTGTTGGTTGCCTCCGAGCTCGACGGAACTGATGACGCCGGCCTCCTTGATGCCTTCGACGAGCTTCTAGGCGAGGACGTCTTGAACGGCTTCGGACAGGATGGTGATAACGACACCGACGTGATTACGCTTCCGTTTTTCGAGGGCAAGCCTTAGAGGGGGGCGCGGCGGACCGGAGCCGGGGGTTATCAGGACTTGGTAATGTATTTTATCAGGATGTGCTACTGCAGTTGGGTGCGCATGTGCAACGCCCTTTTTGGTTTCGGTCTCGTCACTCGTGTTTGGCTTCCTTGCCTTGTCGCCTTGTGCTTATGGTCTCGATTATGATTGGTCGTTGTCTTCCTCGTGTCTCGGTTATTGTCTTCATAGTGTTCTGCTTGTTGTCTCCCTCGAGTTTTGCTCGCTACCTTGATCATAGTGGATGTTTTGATCGTGTGTTGCGTGTTGTCTTTATCGTGTTCAGCGTCTCGTCGAGGAGGCAAGGTATGCCAGCGGTTGATGGTAAGCGGTTGATGCGTATCCGCGGCGATCATCCCCTGTCTCAGGTTCATTTTCTGTGACTGCAGTGCCCCAGCCGTACATGAAACAGAAGCGGAGGCTTGGGGTTGCCGCGAGGTAGGCACGTTTGATCTGGACGTCGTTCGTCTCCGTCCCCAATTTTCGCTGCTGAGCCCCTTGTACATAACAAGAGCCTTGCTGGACCGAACGGATTGTGTCCCTTGCAGTCGGGATAGAAGGGTTTTGTTGGTCGTTTGCTCACCATAAATTGGTTTCGTCGCCAACCATTTAGTAGAAAGTTTGGATTTATCTTTTGTATATGAGGGGCCGTATCGGAGCGTCGGTGTACCGCCATCGTGTATCCGTGGGTCGTGGTTGCAGAGGGCGGCTGCGCTATTTTCTTTGCTGTCGGTGTATGGGCATGCAGTCATCTGCCGCAAGTTTGGCTCGCCCCCCGTGGCAAGTATTCCCACGGTCCGAGGTCGAATGATGCTGTGGCCGCTTGCCACATGTTTTATCTTTTAGCGATGTAAAGACGTTTTTGTATCAGTTCGACACAGCTGTCTGCGTGCTCCTCCTGTGTCCTACACTACTCTGTGTCTCACGCTCCTGTGTGCACACTGTTGCTGGTCCCACACTGGATGTCAACAAGAAAATCAATTGGGAAAGCAACCGTGGGCACACGGCAATCAATACTCCGAAATAAAGACGTCTTTTTAGTCATAGCCGGTAGCGCCGATACACTTTCGACGAATAGGAATGTCTCGCAATTGGAGTATGCTCGTGAATAGTACCAATTGATAACAGCCACTACCTGCTCTCTTCGCCATGTGCCCAACATGTTTTCCTGAGGGATAACCAACCTGTTGCATTAAGTTGCACAAAAGGAGAAACTGTTTACTCCCCCTTCAGCCTTTTCTTCGCGATATACGTTCCGAAACCCATGCGAAAGGAAACCGTTTCAAACCTTAACATCACAGCTGTGCCCGAAACAACCGGGTCATCGCTGGCAGGATCAGCTACAACTGTAGGCGTCGGGAACAAGTGTCTTTTCCTCTCCGATGGGGTAGGGGTGGCCACCAAAGGCTTGCTGGGATTCTCCGACCGCTTTTTACGAGGTCTCCAGTAGCCGGCCTTCTGGTACATTGCCTCGATAGCTCTCTCCTTGTTCCAGCCTGCCTTACAGATGGTCTCTGGAAACAGTGTAGACTGTAGTCGTCAGTCATAAGAACACGGGATTTTGGGGCGGGTTGTGGGTTTGTGTGACAGCAAGGGAGGAGGGTGTCCAGGAACACCATCACAATCCACTACACGGAATGGTGGTTCTCTTGTAGCTGTAGTAATTATCACCTGACAGTGTCTTCCGGCATCGTCCTTGAACGATAGGATCAACCCGTGTCGGTGAGAAAGCCAGTCCCTCTCGTGCTGAACGGGCCGTACGACCATGGGCCACACGACAATGGGCCATACGACAAGGTGGTTATGCAAGCAAAAAGGATTCAATTAAAGAGACCCAAGGCTAGAACTCGAAGAACAGAAGACGTCAGGTGCGTGTGTCTACCCTTCGTCCGTCTGCCCGTCTGTCTCTCTCTCGTTTGCCAATCTTCATCGTCGAAAGCACGTCGATATCGGATAGAGAGGACGGGATGGATGTTTTTTGTCCGCGCTGCCAACACGCCAATAGTAGTGGCTGGCTACATCCCTACATCGAAGTATTTCTTTTTCGAAAGTAGGTCACGCTTTCACTTTTGTTCTCTCTTGCCTGCATAGCTTCGAGGCTCTTGACGATGATTACCTTGCACCTGCATCCGGGTAAGAGGGACCAAGACACAGCGCGCGTAGAACTTCACCGAGATCATCGAAGCACGGAGAAGGTTGAGAAAACGATACAAAGCGGCGTGGATATGGATGACAGCACGATTTCAATGAACGAATGAATTTTGAACTGTTCCAGCTCGGGATGCCAATCAACGGGCGTGGTGGACGGGAGAGGGGCATCCAGCCTTGCATCGAACCAAGTAAGCTCTTTAGACGGAGTTCTGCCGCGCCTGCAAGTTTCGCAACATCAGGTGCAGTCGTGCAGATCGCATGGCCACCATGATGCCCCGCGTCCTTGAATCTTGGCGCCGATCACACTGATGCAGAGCTGTTGTACCAATCAACGTCGTATGCGCCATGTGAGCAACGATCGGGAGGGGTTCATTGGGGTTCCTTTGCATCCGTCGCGGTTGTTGGCCTGGAGAGTAAACCCTTGCAGTCCGGACATACGCCACAAGATCACGACTTCCTGCAATCAGCCCTCACCCTGCTTGCAAAAACGAAGGCCTTCAACAAACGCACCTCAAAAAGGTGGACGTGTTTACGGCCGGAAAAGGCAGAGACAAGTTCACCTCGTGTCCGGAATTTGAGCCCAACCTAGGCCCCAGAATTTTGGGTCTTCTATCGCCGCTTTGACTGCGTACTCCGCCAGCGCTGGTCGAAACGGACTGGGAGTAAAACTGCCCCTGAATCCCGTAGGGACGAAGCGCCCGAGTCTCCTATCCATGGTTTCCCACCTTCTTCCAGCAAGGGGTTGACAGGTGACAACGACGACGACGATGGGTGAGATGGAGGAGCAAGGTACAGCACTCCATCCAGTCGAGACGTTGCCTTTGGCTGATTCACACTTTCACTCATTCACTATGGGGGCAAGGTACAGCACTCCATCCAGCACACACATGGCCTTCGGCTGATTCACTGATTCACTGATTCACTGATTCACTGGGGGAGCAAGGTACAGCAACCCATCCAGTCCATACGTGGCTTCGCTTGATTCACTCGTTCACTCATTCACTGGGGGAGCAAGGTACAGCAACCCATCCAGTCCACACATGGCCTTCGGCTAGTTCACTCATTCACTCGTTCACTCCTCTGCATGGCTTTCCCGCTTTGAGCACGGGGCCAAGAGGTCAACGACAACAACATTAGAGCGGCAGGCCGCAGCAGGAGTCATGGACCCACCTGATGAAGAAGGCTACATGAGGGTCTCCCGCCACCGCAGTGGAGCCCCACGGAGTTCTCCTCCTCAGCTCTTGCGCGCCCGTGCCGTCTGCCATTTGGTTCGGTTCGGTTGGATTGACGAAAGAACAGAAGCATCAAAAACCGCCAGCCAGTCACTATAACCGCGTAGATTAGCCTTCTACCAATCGCGTTTGTGGACGAATTCGGGATGCCTTTGGCATAGGTTTCCTGGACAACGCCGTGGCAGGGAACCGCTCGCAGGTTCGGAAGTCAAGTTTTGTGATGATTGTCTTCCACAGAACTGCCCGTCATGACGGAACGCGCTTGCCATCGTTGCATTGCCCCAGGACGACCATACAGCGAACGTATTGGACTGAAAGCCTGAGTAACGAGTGAACATTGGAGCAGGTTCCAAATTTCGTGCGATGCGAAGCGGGTGGCGGTTTTTGTGAATGCCGACCGTTGACAGCGTAACCGAAGAGTGAACACGACTCAGGAACAACTAGCAACTGCCAATTCGAAGAGATAAAAGCTCAAAACCCGTAAAAGAAGATCTGCCCCAGAGACAATAATAGTGGCACACCTCGATGGCAATTGCAATGGAAGAACTATCACACCACCTTACGGACGCACCCCGGAGATGACCCATGAGCGCGTCGAAGCAACGGACGCACGGATGGAAAGACTTCAGGACCTCAATCGGGGCGCCATAGCACTGCTCCCGTGTGTCCGGCCGTCTGTCCTCGTCGGCGCCGCCACCGGCTGCCAAGATACCGCGCTGCTTCCGGCCGAACGCCGCTACCGATTTCGGAGCTGCGGCCATCCTGTCCATCTGGGAATCGTCGAGCGACATGCACAATGGCACAACACAGGTGGTCTGGTTCTGCGGTCTCATGGATACGCCCGTAATCGCTCCATGAATTCAAACAGTCAACAACGACACATCATGGAAATAATAGAGAACCTATCCCGCCCAGCTACAAGGTCAGGCCAGAATCCCAAACAAAGTGCCCTGTGACATCCAATGATGCTACTAGAACGTGATTGGTTGCACCAACACACGACAGTTTTCGATAGTTTGTATGGTGTGAAGACTCCTAATGCAGTTCGCCATTTGGCGTTAAACCGATATCGCGCTTGACAACAACATGAGGCTATATTCGTGCATTTTCACGGTTCGCTGTGTTTTCCCTGCGCTACACTGTCGAGGAACGCGCAACGGACGCATTACCGTCGAGGAAAGCGCAATGCGCAATGGAAGCATTCATGCAATCTTTACCTGGTCGCCTCCCCCCCACCCCGCTCCAGTAGCCGCGCCGTTGTTGGTCCACGCCGCCGCCACCCCTCCGCTCTGCCAGCTGCTCTCGCCGTAAACCGACACGCCCCCCCCATCGAGATCATCACTATCCCCAGGGTGCCACCGTTTCGTCCACGTGGCACAGGTGGTTCCAGAGAGGGAGCTGGAAAACCAGTCTTCACAACTTCTTCCGGCTGTTGAAAGATCGCAGTTGCTTGATCCTCCCGCTCTTGGACTGCCGCCGCTTCCACCGAAGACCGATTTTCCCAAGATGGTGTTTCCACGTTCGAACGAAAGCGAATGTGCCGAAGCGGCGGTGGCCAGCGGTAGCAGCGAGGACCTCGAGAGGGCGGCGTCGGTTTCGATGGTAAGGCGTCGGGAGGGCGGTGCGGTAGTCGATGGCCTGCGACTGAGTAGCGACGAAGGACCAGGTTGAGCATCGAAGAGGATTCTCTCTGAAGTGCGAAACGAAGCCGCCACTCCTGGTGTTGCCCCTGCTGGGGTGGTGCGTGGGCGTGCCATGCGGTCTCCGGCGTGCTGATCCGGGGTTGTGCGGCAGACAATATCGCCGATACGGTCGGCATCGATTGATCGAATCGATTTTCTCGTCGACCTTCGCGATCGAATCGATTTTTTCGTCGAACTTCTCCGATCGCCGTCGTTGAACGATCGACAAGACCCCCACCCAGGCAAAGCGGCTGCAGTCTCGCCGCTTGTCGGCTTGGTGGTGGCCTCGTTGGCCGCCTCGTCGACTCCCACATCACAGCCCAAGGGACGTCGACAGGCACGCTCGGACGACAGGGTTACAGCGGAAGGAGCCGTCAACGGCCTCTTCGAGAGCGTCTCGGCAGGTTCTTCCGCAGCAGGAGCGGCGCTTCTGCTACAGTCTTCGTGCCCGGGGCCACCTTCTCCCAGTCCGCCCTGCTCGGCGTGATCTTCTGCCGTCACTGGCGGGGGGTCGCCGTACGGGATTGGCGGCAACACCTCTGCAGGTGTCGCCGATAAGGATGATTTGATTCTCGCCGGCGTCGAAGCTTTGGGCACGCCTCTGCTTCGCCATCCCGCGATCTCTTGGGAAGCTTCCCCTGCTTGTTCGTGCCGCTGGGTTCTCTTTACCCGTTGTCGTTGCCCTCCCGCAGAAAGGAGTACGTGTTCTTCCTCGGAAACGCGCCCGAGAGAGTGTGAACTCCTCCGATGGTTGCCGCTGGAATCCTTGAGGTGTCTGCGACTCTGTAGAGTCGCGGCTGTTTTGGGTCGATACGCGACGCCGAAGCTTGGAGCTGAGCTGGATCTCCTCTTGTTGCCGCGTCCTGGAGCACGTTCAGGAGCCCTGTAACGGAGTACGCAAGATGCCGTGGTGACCACACAGCAGTACACTATGTATGTCTAGTTGGACGACAAGGTCGGCGATGTTGCAGTCTACAACATGTGTGACGAGAGTCATCAATTTGTTGAATCTGCCTACCCATTGAGGTTCCTTTGGCATGAACCGTTTCATAGCTTCCCTCTGAGCCTTTCAAAGAGCAGAGTACCTGGAAGTAGAAATGTCTTCCGACAGCTGTCCTCAGCAGTAGACTGATGTGTTATCCACTGCTGTAGTCATGCTCTGTGTTTGTCTCAACGTTAGCATGAGGCACCTTGGCAATAGGCAGTAGCCGGCAACAAAAAATGACCTGTGGAACAGAATCCACCCACTTCATAGGTCTAACCAATCGATTTCGCGGCATGTATAGTACACATCCCTTTTGCAAGTGCAACACACGAGACACTGTGCCCCCACACGCTCCACGCACCTCCAAGGCCTCTCGAAAATCGGCGAACCCGACACAAGCAAATTCGCCGATCGAGGTCCGTTGAGTCTTCTGCCGAACATATTCTCTTTCAGAAGGCGACTCGATGGTCGGTGAGCGGCAGCGTGCGCATAATATGAAAGTAACACATCTGGGTCAATGGTAGGAGGAGTTTGTGCATCTCCGTCCGCCTTGTAGTTGGGAACCTCCGGCTTATTCCCCGAGAGCTTCAGATGGCTCGCGATCTTGTTCGTGATGCTCTTGGACAACTCGCTGAAGCTTGAAGGAAAGGCACTGCTCGCGTGGGAAAACATGTTGACCGGCGGAAAGAGCAACGCAAGTTCTTTCCAGCTTCGGCCACCACGCCCCTAACTAGCTCGCGATTGGTTCTCCTGTTCTCTCCCCAAGGGGAAAAACGCGGTCCTATGCAAGGGAGTCAATTTGCATCCCGAACCGGCACCAGTTGCGCCGCCCCGTCTACAGACTCGACTGCAGACAGACGGCGTTGTATAAACAAATAGTTTACAGAACGAGACCAACAGTCTACAAAACGTACAGACTAAATCTATCGAGTCAATGTACTCTGTATTGTACACAACGGGCCCGGAGCAAGAAACGTCAAAATCGGGTCTAGCCTCCATCCTTATTTTTGGTCGAAGGACCAGCCGAAGTCGTCCATTTTCTTAAAGCGGATTTCTTATTCCTTGGGACTGTCGCATCTTGCTTATTTTCTTATTTATAAATAATAAAAATTCAAAATTTTTCATATTTTGTTATATCTCCGCGATGTGTGGCGGTACAGCAGTACAGCGGCAGTGGGTAGCGCAGCCCGCGGCGGCGCGGGGGCGCGGGGGGCGCCGCGAAAACAACCACTGTCCCCTACAAAAAAAATACATGCTAGGTAGCGGGTGGGAGCATGGCAGCAGCGCAGCAACAAGCAGCAGTGGGACGTCTCTTATTGGACACGCCCCCCAGCTATCCCTTGTTTCTTGGGTGTTGGGGATATCGCACGGTCATCTTTCTTATTGGGGCGTTTCTTCATGTTGCTGTGGTCGAGATTGAGCTGTGTTTCTTAGTCCTTTCTTGTTATTTTTCGTGGACATTTGAGACTCATTTATTTTCTGAACGGATTTTTTCATAATTGCGGGCCCGTTCTGTAGAAACCCCCCTTAAAAGAATTGGCTGGAAATCCCCAGCCAATTCAGATCGGGGGGGTGCGGGATCGTGTTCCGAAAAAACATGAAATACAAGAAATACAGAGTTAGCTCCGGGGCGTGAGTTCGTTTCGTAGGCACGGTGCGCCAAGTGTGACGAGATTGCAGTTGTTGTTGTTTCTCACATTAGCTCTATAGTCCACAAAAAATGGGGAGCCCGTGGTCTCAAAACCCGGCACATACAACGCCGCGGGGAAACAAAACAAAAATTGGGTACGAACCACTCGGAGCAAAGAAAAAAAAATGATAGAAAGAAAAGAACAGGTATCGCACCGACCGTTCGAGAAAAGAGCCCTCGGAAACCGATCAAAATAAGACAAAAACAAAAATAAAGGAGGACGCTGCCCACACCCGCCCTAGAAAAAATCAAAGGGTAACGTACCAGCACCAGGCATTACGCACCAGGGCATGGGAGTAACGGAGCAAACAGGACAATGAGGCGGCAGATGGGCAGACAGCCAGACGTACAAAAACAAAGGCAACAGCAAAGCGAGATCACGGTACCCAATACAGCAGAGTAGGCAGGGAGGTCATGAAAAAAAGAAACACAGCACAGAGGCCGAAGGCAATACAAAGGACATACATAAAGGAGTATAGCATACAGCAGGGAGGGAAACAGGGCGCAACAACATCAGCCGGGTACA